TTTCTTGTGTAGTTTTTGATTTAACATTTTATTAATTGTTTGTTCGTTGTATACGTTGTTTACTGCTATTTGCTTAATTATATTTAATTCTGTCTCAAAGTTGTCTTTTGACATCGGAATTTCTGTTAATCTATGTAACATACTATGATAAGCTACCAGTTTATGTTGTGCTGGATGGGATGATGAATTGTGTATAATCGTGTCGGTATGGGTAGGTTTATGAAATATGGAGAAGTCATGTTTGTTTTGAAGTCTGCTAATTTTTAAATCTAAAAAATTTATGCCTTGATTTTGTTCTGTTTCTATTGTAAATTCAATATTTTCCAAACACATAAAAAAGAAAGGAATAACACCAGCTTTCCGAACAAATAACAACCTAGGCAAATATATTAAAAATAACAAGAGCCAAAATAAAAAACACTTAAATAGTGGTGTGTACAAACTTCAATGTGGCGACTGCCCAAAAACTTACATCGGTCAAACTGGTAGAAACTTTGATAAACGAATAGCAAAACATAAAAGGGCTTTCAAGAATAGAAAAACAGATTCGACATACGCACTTCACCTGCTAGATCATAATCATTCTTTTAATGACAAATTTACAATTCTTCACATTCAAAATAAAGGCCTTAAGCTATCTTTGTTAGAATCTATGGAAATCAACAAATTAAAAAACACAGATATAATTCTGAATGACCAACTTGAGACAAACAGTTCTCCCCTCCTCAACCTATTTCATTAGAGACTATAAATTTGTAAACCCAAGCCAAAAATAGATCACTTGAGAAAGGCTATCAGCCGAAACAGCTGTAGTGATAAGATTTAAAATAAATTTTGTGGAAGTTTGAAAACAAAGTTTTCAGTGTTTTATTGTTACATAAAATAAATTTCCATCAAGTAACGGTCGAATCCATCAATTGTTCAACCCTTTTAGCAACTATCCCTTAAATCGAAAATCATGAAAAAATTATTGTTTATATTTCTGAAATATCAAATCACATATTAATATTACCCAAATAGTTTCTTTAATGTTTATGATATTATTTTTGATTGACAGTGAAATTTCAACCCTTAAAAACCACCCTCTTAAAGCAGAATCATTGAAAAAACTATTTTCAAGAAACTTTAATTATTGAAATAATACATTACTGAATTGAAATCTCATTTACTGAGATTTAAAGTATTTATTTATTTATTGCGTAATTTTGCACCCTTAAAAACTACCTCTTGGCATAAAAATAAATGTTTTTTTTTATCTTTAATTAGCTTTAATAATTCTATCTTCAAAATATACATGCACACATATACACATATATATTTCGTGAGCATATACCTATCGACACGTCTACTTCTTATTATCTATCTTTTTTCCTATATACACATACAAAATCTCTACTCCAAAAATTTTTCTAAAAAAATTTATTGATTTTTTTACAATAACTCCGTTAATTTTTATGATATCTTCATTTAAAAACCATTTGAAAGGTTATTTCAATGGCTATATAAAGTTGTATTAAATTTAATCTTTTAAATTCCTTGTTTTTTAAAAGATAAAAGGTTAAAGGGCTCCGGTTACATGGTTCTCGTAGTAAAATTTAGGCTTTAAACGTTTTATCTCAAGTTATTTTTTATACTACAAAAATATAAAAAAAGGAAAATCTTTGTTCAAAAAAACCCTCAAATTTTGTTTCATCATTTTTTAAGTATATTGAGTATATATGGAGATATTCTCAAAAATCTGAAAAATTCTGATTGTTTAAATAATTTTTTTTTCAAAAATATTCATTCTAAACCGGTCAAAATTTTTGAGGTTATTACTTATGCTAAAATAAAGAAAGTATTATAGGAATTACTATAAATTTTAATTTTGTAGAAATGGCGTAGTTTTATTTTTCACTTTTTCCAAAAAAAATCGAAAGGATCCTCTTATTTTCCTCATAACTTGCTTAATTTTGATGCTATCAACTTCTTCTAGAGCTCATCTTATAGGTATTTCTGAGTTCTTTGAAAATTGTTCAATAAGTATATTTTATAAAATGCATGGTTTTCCCGTTATTTAACCTTGAATATTCAGATTTGAGTACTCGCCGAAAAAAAAATACATTTAATTACCTATAACTCACATTGAATTATTTATTAAAAGGTTTTCCAACGAGGAATTTATTTAATTTTTTATTAGCTTCAATTTTGGTAATAACAACTTTTTTATAAAAACTTATAGTTTTTGAGTTATTTATGAAAACCCGCTTTAAAACATGCATTTTTTTCACGAAAAATCAAAATATTTTGACCTTCAATAACTCAAAAAATATTGATTTATTTTAATAACTTTATAAGAAAAATTTTGTTTAGATTTGGTCTCTCTATCGATTTCTGGGGTTATTTTTAATAAAATAATTTAATAATTTAATTTTAATAATAATAATAATCCACCCATACGGTAAAATCGCAAGTTGACACCGTGTCACTTTTGTTTCTTAAGGTATCCTCTAACTACTCACTAATTTTCATGAAAATCGATGGAGGTTCAACGAAATCGGAGTGAAAACCTTCAGTGACTGTACTAATAATTCAATGAATTATTATGTTTGCCCCTAACGCCACCCGTTGACGTATTAAAAAAGCATACGTTGTTTACTTCTGACAGATATGTCAAATTCAAACGAAATATTAAATAAAATATAAATAAATATCATTTGATAGTAAATTTAATCATTATATATGGAGAAAAAAGTAATACATTTTTAAGCACTTTAGCCGTTTTCACCCCACTGTGCTACTTGCTAGGAGTCCTGTAGTTGGCATAGCAAGAAGCACAGCCAAAAAACAATATCGGACTGGGTGAAACGTAACTACTGGTACGAACAAAAAGGTCACAAACATTCGAAGGCTTATATACATAAACCTTCGAGGAAGAGATCCAACGATCTATTGGATATGAATGAGGATGATCTGAGAATAATCGTAAATGTCCTAAAAGGATAATGTCGCCTCAAGAGTCACATGAACAAAATCGGACTTACAGAAAGTGCGAATTGCAGATTCTGTCCGGCTGATGGCGATGGATGAAACGGCCGAATACGTTTTGTGCAACTACCCAGGGTTAGATAGGATAAGGGTTAATCCATTTGAACATTGTTAACTCGTGGAAGTATTACCTAAGGCCATAATAGACTTTGTTAAAAAGTCACTTTAATCTAAGGATGAGAAATAATGGACCTCTTAGATCGAGTGAAAGAGTGGTTAAACGCCCACTCATATTAAACCTAACCTATTCTAAGGGAAAAACCTTAAGCGTAGTATCAACTAAACTTTCACAATACGTATTTGAAGTTACAATACTTTAGACATATTTAACAAAAATATCGACAATATTTGAAACTAAAATAATTTAAGTAAATTTCTCTTGATCGAATTGATTACGAAATTTTTCCCGTCACTGCATATTTGTAGTTCCCAAGATAAATCCGGGTTGGAACATTGTTATTACACCGTGTAAGTCCGTCCCAAACCCTTCTTTCAGTGCGTCATAGTTGTTCGAATTCTCTCTAACGCATTAAGCTAGAAGTGACAGAAAAAAACGTGAGTCGCTGATTATTATACATAGAACTTAGAAAATTAGGTATCGTTCACGGATATTCGCATATTAAAGCGAATTCTACTTACGAACGTATAATTGGTTGTAGTTTAGAATACGCTAAATAGATATCCAATCAATTATGCATATAAATATAATTTGACACAGATGATCTTGATAATGACAGTGACAGTACTTTCACAATGTCAACTGATAAAATGATAATTGCCATTCCAGGTTAGTATCAGTTAGTATTTTCAGACATTTTACCTACAGTGAAAATTAAATTTTGTATTTATTGTCATAAAAATATTTTAAATATTCCGAGATATACCGAGAATGAAAAAAGACTAATATTAAAATTATTAAATTAGTTTCAATTAGAAAAAGAGGCTGAGACATCTTTATTTCAGTTTCTGTCGTTCGCGAATCAGATTGTGAATTCCGAATGATATTGAGGAAATATCTTAAACTAATGCCTTTATGGATATTTATATGTATTAAAACGGTTCTTTTTAGAACCACGACATTTTCTTGAAATGTAGGATATAATTGATACCAGCCACATATCTAGTGTATTCATTGATTTTCAAGAATCAGATTCTGAATGGGATTATAGATTGTTTGAAATATAATATTCATTTTTGTTATTCATAAAAAAGAAGGTAAACTTACATTCGGTATCTTGTTTTTTTAACTAAACTCCATTAACACGATTTCATCTGGCTATCGGAACTGGTAGATTAACTCAAAAATCAACTGCTTCACTATTTAAACTATTTATATTATTTTTTTTAACTAAACTTTATAACCTTCTTTCATTTGCACAATAAATCTGGTAGAATAACTCAAAAATCAACTGCTTCACTATTTAAACTATTTCCACTATTTAATGACAACTCACAAAATTAAACTATTGGCTGCCACACAAACTTATCAGAAACTTACTTATCCAAATATGACTGATTTAGATCGATATTATTTTATCACAAGAATGTTTACTTTGATGCCTTGCAATTGTCAGTAAATTTTTTTACCTTGCAGTCAACTCTTAAAAGATTCTAGGAGGAAGCGTTATTTTAAATAAACAAACCTTCCAATTCCCTAGTGTTTGTAATAAATAATAATAAATCCATAAACAAATCTTAGCTAATTAAGCACTTTCCAAAAAAAAATAACCTTTTCACGTTTAGCCGATTACGATCCTGCAACTGTCAGATTTAACTAAAATGTCATGCAATAATTTTCGACATTCTTAAAATCCTATATGACGTCAAAATTATTGACGCACTGAAAAAAGGGTTTGGGACAGACTGTATAAGATACGTTCCTTGGCACAAGCGCTGCTCAGTAAAAAAATATCGCTTTAAAATAACTAAATATTGCTAGCATTAATTTGTGATGTCGTTGAATATGTGAACGTACAACAGTTATTTTAGTTTTAATATACCTATATACTTTAAAAACCTATTAACTGAAACTATTCAATTCCCTTACATATGTTTCAAACAAACTGTCGAACCGAACACTTATAAACTGCCCAAACGCCCTAAAAGTTTTTTTGTATGAATGTATTTTCACAAAGTTGAATAACACTTGTGCCGGATCTATTCGCTTCTCCAGGAAAAGATCAAATTCGAGTATGTTCACTAAAGGTGTAATGTCTTTAAAGAGTGAGTCCATTTCTGCAGTAATTGCTTTTTCTCGATCTATAAGTGATTTGGCTTCGTTTTTTATGGGGGAATTTTTTCGATTTTGCCAATAAGCTAACTTGGCAGAACATCTCAAATGAGCTAGTTGTACGTCGTTAGATGCGTCGCTGGGATGATTTAGTTTTCGTACTTTACCACCTGATTGATTTATTTCTTCTACAGAGAATCGTAAAAAAATTGTAAGTACTGTTATCACGAAGTCTTTAACAGAATTAAACCAAAGCTCCTTTATAGCAGCAGTTTTATCGCGACATCTTTGTCAACTTGTTTACTCAGGTAATTAAAATGGGGGGACATTTGAATACTAAATTTAATAACGTCATTTTGTACCACTGCTTGCCTTTCAAAAGTTAGGCGGGTCTGAATAAAACAGTTTAAACAAGAATTGTTTCTCATGCTCAACTATTTGCTTTCCGTATCTACACAGATTGACAAAATTCTGTAAGAGCTTTAGAGATACAACTGCAGTTATATTTCTCGTCTGTTCAAAAGGATCCTGGATACAAATGCCGGATTCTAGTTTTAATGGCATAATGTCTTTATTTTTTACGACATTTTTATATATTTTGAATGCATCTGGCAGACTATCTGGCTCCATAAAGTCTATTTTCTTAAAAGGTCGTCCAAGATATGGGCATATAACGTATGTTCCGTAGTCGAAATCGGCATAAAATGAGAAAAAATCAGCAAACAAATCAATTAATGATGAATTATGCAGATGAGTTGAAATAACTGCTACCTTTGTAAAACCACCATTCCAACCATCTTGTATATTAGCAGCACCAGGTTCCTTCTGTAAATTTTCCACGGACGGAAGTAGATATGGTTTCCTGAAATATACAAAAATAATTACTGAAAACGATTGTTTAAACAAAATGCTTTTTCAAAAATTAAATGCTCAGGCTGTTTTCCACTGTAACCTTGTTTTTGACTAGTACAAGAATGAAAATCCGCGATTTTAAGAACAGATTAGGAGACAGAGATAGAATTATTAAAGAAAAGTTTAAAAAAAATGTTAGAAGACTCTGAGGTTTCCAGAGCAACAACCAACACATCCACGGAGGAAGCTAAGCTACCTGAGTAAATGCCAAACGTTTAGAACGTTTAAGACAACAAGAAAAAGGTTAATGCGAGTTGATAGTAAAATAAAAGTAAAAAATATCGGCATAAGCTCGCAACAAAGGAAAATAAAATATAATAAAATATGTGTATAATATGGAAGGCAACCGTATATACGTATTTCTGACTATTGGTCGTCTTCAAATATGCCACAAATTGGTCGCATTGCTCTGTAGTGATCCTTTCTCATTAATTGCTCTTTTTCTAACTTGGTTGCACCGTACTGAAGACGAGCAATAGTCAGAAAAACGTATATTACGGTTGCCTATCAACTCGCATTAACACTTTTTCTTGTTGTTTGTATGTATATTATATATATATATATATTATATATATATATATATATACAGTGTAGGTAAAATTTTTATGGTCGGTATGGTAAAACTTAACAGGATATCTAACACAGATATATAAATCATATTTTCAGCGAATGACAAAGATAACAATCTTATTCCCCCTTGGTCTCCCCTCCATAAATCTTCTTGACGCCCATTTTGCCTGTTAGTGAGACGAATTAGTTCCGATCAGAGATATTTCCATATTCTGTGGTTCCGATCCTCATAAAGCTAAGAAACTAGAGGTGGGTCCTTTAGTTTTTTAAATTTATATCGGAACCGTTTTTCGTAAACTGTAACTAGTTGATTGTTTACCAGTATTCAAATTAGCGAGTACACAAACATATTGGCTATTATCGTTTATGTGTATAAGTATTAAAAGTGAAAGAAACTACGAAGAATATATTTATTATAACTTGAAAAATAAATTAAACAATACAAATAGTACTTACATTTACATGGACTTAAGATCATCTTTATCAGTTTCTTTTTCTTGTACTAGTCAATTTTCAATAGTATAATCTTCTTTTTCTTTTTTTTATTAGAAGTAACCAGCTTTCAACCATCAACTAGTTGATTTTAACGAATTTAACCGAAAATTTAGAGTTTAACCACGGTTTAATTAGACTGCTGCCATTTTTATGGAAACCATATTCAGAAAACATCGCTTTTAAAATTAGTGAAATACAAGTACAATGAGTGCCAAAAATACTTGAATGATAGTTCAGTGATTGTTCTGGGTACGCTGCCTGCAAAAATCTTGCAATAAAATTTTAGCAAACAGTAACCTTACATCCATAGTTAGTATCCGACGTAGTACGGGTTTTTATTACTAATTACGGGATAATTATCTAATCCCGGGTTTAGCAAAAAAGATTTAGAGGGATAGAATACAGTGGCATATTGTCATTATGTACTTTTATGGATTCACGATTTAAAGTGCAGGGATTTTCTGATAGAATGACGCTAAAAAAAAACAAAAAGAAAGAGTTAAGAGGCCTGTGTACCAGCCATAAAAATGAGTAAACGGGGCATAAAAATGAAGGAAAACGGCTTAACTGAAATAAATAAAATTTTGGGTTTTGCTTCAAAAAAAAAGGCTTTTTATCGCTATGTTTTTATATTTTTGAAAAACCAAAATTTTTTTTTGTTAATTTGAAAATGATACGTTTATTTAAAAAAATGCAGCAGTGCGGCGTTTAATATGATTTTTCTTAATATATGAACTAATAATGTATTCAATAAAAATGAATGTAAGTCCTACATTCCATGCTTCAAAATTTTCAAAAAAGTAATGACCAAATCAGAAGACGCTCGAACTTTCCAGCGGATCTGACAACGTCGATGTGAGGGAGCCGCCATTAGCGGCACTGTCTGGCTAATGTTTTTGATGTTAGAAAAGAATATATTCCAGTTTGATTATAATTATCGTCTGGCGCGTGCCACCAAATTACGTTCGTCGATTACAGAGTTGGCTGTCGGGATTTTTAGTTTTTTCGTATATTGTGTTAGTTGTTGTGTTCTTTTTAATTATATTAATTAATAATTTTCTGTTGTTCATTGTGTGAGACTAAGTGTAAAAAGTAGTGTGAAAAACAGTTTTAATTATAGTTTGCTTTACAAACGAAGACCATGGGTCGCGTACATCGAGCAATAAGACAAACGAGGGAATCTAATCGTTATGAAAAGGAGACCAAAAAAGTGGCCTCTGATGGCGGACATATCCGGAAATGCAAATGCGCCAAATTTAAATTTCATGACACTTGACAATAATCATACAGTGGTGTAGGGTGTAGTTTAATTGTGTGTAAAAGGGGACTAGTCAATGTAGCTGAATTTGTATGTAAAGTTGATTGTTCCAAAAGAGGCACTTACAAAATAGTACATAAAGTTTAGTGTAAAAAGGTATATGTTAACATATTCCTTTTGGCACTGCCCATATCAGTATTTCTCTTAGTGAATAATGAGACAACTTGACTTGCATCCTTATTCACGGCTAGCTTTTAATGTAACGAGCAACCAACTTAACACACATAACCTATAAATTAGTATGCAAAACGAGTCATAGTTGAGATTATTATTGCAAAATAAAAATATTTGTTTAAATTTAGTAATACCAATATAATAAGTGAAAATTAAAAAATGTCTAGAGGAAAACAAATTCTAAATATGCTAAATGCCGATGGTAAGTAAAATCATAATTTATTTTTCACTGGTAGTGGTAGAATATTTTTACTGTAATCTAAAATTATCCAGTTGTTTCTGTATGTATAATGTGTACACAGAATAAACAAAATAAATGAGATATTGTTTTACAGATGAACAAGAGAATGTTCGTATATATTGTTCAGATAAGGAAACTGTATTAGAAAATTGCAATAAAAGATGTACAAATGCTGACAATTACTTGGAAGGGATTATACCAATGCAGAAAACCTTTCCTTCTGGTAAGTAATAAATAATTTTATTAAAAGTGGGTACACGTATTACAAACTATGGAAGAAATTATATGAACAAAAACAAAATGCGCATTTAGTATCGTTCTTTTGTTGTTTGCTAATAAAAATTTTATTAGCTAATTTTATTTTTGTTGCATTTTAGAGCAACATGCCCGAGATGAGTCTGAGATGTCCTACGCCAGTAGCGTTGCTGCATCACTTCCAGATGAAATTCAGGATCCATTAGATTTTTCATCAGATGATAGTCTTGCAGATCCAAATTTTGTCCCTGCGAAGGATGAAAAATATGATAGCTTTGCTGCGGACAGCGATATAGTAGAAAGAAAAAAAAGAAGACCCAATTCAGATGAAGATATAAATAATACTGCAGTAGACAAATATAACTTAGACGGGCAAGTCCACGAGAAAGTTAAAAAACGCACGAACAAAGAAACGAGAAAAATGAGACAAGAGAGACGAGAAAAACGAAATTTTGGTAAGGCGTATGTTACAAGAACTGGAAAAGAGATTAAAGAAAAAACTATGCAAGAACTGAAATTATCTAGAAATAAGTGCAAGGAAAAAATAAAGGACGAATTTCGCTTGCAACTTTTTAAAGAATTCTGGGAAATGGGAAGCTACAATCGTAGGTTAGAATATATAGCTGCTCTCATGGATGTTAAAGAGAAGAGTTCTATGCGAATAAGGTGTTCTGACCCAAGCAAACAACGGTACCGACAGCATACCATAATTTATCATTTCCCTCTTCATGGCGTTCGTTCTGTTGCTTGCAAGGACTGTTTTATGAAAACTTATAATATTAGTAAGAAATTCATAGAAGTTATAGTAGCGAAAAAATGTTCTCAAATATCAGGCGTAATGACATTAGACCAACGAGGATATCATGAAAATCGGAAGAAGGTATCAGATGATGAAAAAATAAGGGCAAGGGATCACATTTTATCTATCTCCTTATATGAAAGTCACTATACAAGAAGGCAGTCATCGAGGAAATATTTACCTTCAAACTACACACTCACTGCTATTTATGAAGCTCACAAGAAGATTTACCCATATAATTTTATTAATCGTAAAATGTACGAAAACATATTTCACAGCCTTAACATCACTATAAAGAAACCTAAGAAAGACACATGCGGTAAATGTGACAAATTAAAAATGAAAATTACTATGTGCAAGAATGAGGATGAAATAAAACTACTAAAAGAAGAGTTAAACGAACACCATTTACAAGCTGATCAAGGATATAAAAACAAAGAAGACGATAAATTTCTGACTAAGGATAATGCTAAAATGAAAACTAAAACTTTTGATCCCCAGCAATGCCTGCCAACACCAGACCTCCAAAGTGGTGAGTCGTTTTACAAGAGGCAATTGTGGACATTTAATCTTACAGTTCACGACTGTGATAACTCACAAGCCCACTGCTATTTATGGCATGAATCTTTAGCAAAACGGGGCGGAAATGAAATTAGTTCCTGCCTATATCAATACCTAACAAAAGATTTAGATCCTAAAGTTGAACACGTAATAATGTATTCAGACTGCTGTCCTGGCCAGAATAAGAACAGGTTCATAACAGCAGCTTGCTTAATTGCTTTACAATGCTCTGCAAATTTAAAAATTATTGAACACAAGTTTTTACTATCAGGCCATACACATATGGAGTGCGATACGGATCATAGTTTAATAGAAAAAAAGAAGAAAAAATTTAGTAGTCAAATAGAACATTTTGGAGGAAACGTCAATTTTTAGTTACAGAAATGCAGCGCTCTGCGTTTCTTAATTTTGTTGGCTTATTTAATTCTGTATTAGTTAACCGCAAAAACTGATACTCAAAATAACAAGATAAACTGGAGACAATTTTGTTGGTATGAAAAATCTAACCAGTTTCAATACAAGTTGTCCTTTGACAAA